TTTGTATGTCTTAAACTGAAAATAACGTAACTCTATGACGTCATATTCAAAATAAGTGATTGCATATGTAGAGAGCTAGAGCATAAACCGGAAGTGAAATTCTTTAGGATTTCTTAAAAGGGTCTGAGAACGAGGGGTCTGACAGCATTTCCACAGAAGCTAATTTTGTGGCTGATACTTACGCTTTRCCATCCTKCACATACTGCCTGTTTCTTTAATAAGGTAAGAGAAAAGTGGTAAAAATGGCGCCACCGTTGATGTCGTGACCAAACTAGAAAAAACGATCTTAAAACAATTCAGCCATTAAAAAGCTTTAAAAAGCTGAGTCATTGGTATGTTAACTTACAGTAAATCAATTTACTCTGGAATGATCAGTTTTATAGTTAATTTATTATCTGTGAAAAATGCGAGTTCATTGCTAGTTTGCGATTTCAATCCCTTCGGTAAACTYGCTTTCAAATGCTCCGCGATTTGCGGTTAGAATGAGATTAGTATATGATGATGAAATCAGCTAGAAACGGTAGTGGATACTTTTGCAATAAGAGCATTCTCAAACTGGTATATAAGCAAGAACATTTCATATGCCTAAAAGAAAACTAYGTAGGTTGGCCATTGCTAGCCAGAGAACATTCTTATGCAACATTTGTCAGTCCGTATTCAAGCGTATTGATCCATGATGATTCGCGTGMCTGGCGTCGCCATKTTGATGACAGCATTTGCGTGACACAATCCAAACTTTCATATTTCTATAAAAGAAATCAAACATAAGTTTTGTACTACTTTCGACACTACTTCAGAACTAGTCTTCTGTGTATTTAGTAGAATAGAGATAAACTTTTTTACCTTGTGATATGATGCGTGTGAAGTTTGTATTTTATAGTAATKTTTGAACTACTCTATTATGACGTAAGAATAATTTTTAGTTGGGCTTCGAAAAATACTGCAAAACACTTAATCGCTGAGCGCAAGTCTCSAAGGCTAGGCTCATTGCTATTTTACCTAYATGATTTCGCTGAAGCCTGCGTGCCGTTCCTAACCGTATCGGAAACGAAACGACTGACGTGGCTGCAAACAGGTCTCCTAATGACTGCAAACTTCCGTCTTTTCCTTAATACGGGGTCCCTGTGTTGTCACAAAGGATGTTCTTTGGGTGGGCACGGGAGGGGGTATCAGAGGAAAATGAGCAGGGGCTCTAGGGGATTTTTATTTGACTTGCAAAACAAGCGACTCTGGTGAGCTCCCCGGGTTAAAAAGTCGTCATGAATTAATCATTGTGCATTCTTCTTTTTCTAGAGATGGCTCATCTTTTGGACTTCTTATCTAATCCTTTAGCTGTTCTTGTTGTACTGTTAGCTGTAATTGTCATTGTCTACTGCTTTGGGACGTACAACTACCGGGCTTTGAATGGCATGAATATTCCCGGTGCTAAACCATTACCGTACATCGGTAACATACGGGACATGGCCAAATACGGTGGAATTCACCTTTGTTTGTTAGAATACATGAAGAAATATGGTAAAGTATTCAGCTTGTGCACTGGAAGAAAGGCWTCGATTGTCATTTCGGATCCAGAGCTACTGAAACAGATTRCGGTTAAAGACTTTCACAACTTCACCAACCGCTTTAATAGTGGTCCTGCTCGTGGAAAGTCACTWTTCATTCTCAAAGACGATGACTGGAGAAGGGTTCGCTCTGTGTTATCCCCAACCTTTACCTCTGGCAAGCTAAAGCTGATGGTGACTTTGATGGAAAAGTCTTGCGACACATTGGTAGAGAAAGTGAAAGGCATTGCTGATACTGGTAAGGAG